AGCATATAGTATACGCTGCCTAAGTTATTAAAAAACAGACAGAATATAAATTATTTCCGTTTTATTTGCAGAAAGGTAAGAAATTCATCCAAGGTCAAATTTAGATAAGATATTTTGGTCATAACCTTAGAGTTTTCTTCGTCCATTGGGAGCCGCCTCACTCGAAGTGCTCGTCGCTGATTGGCTGGCAGCTACCATGAAGATTGTCACACGTGTTCTCCGGCTGCCTGAAGAACTGATATAAGAAGCTCCGCATTCCCAATCGGCTATCAGTACCAAGAAAGCTATGGTACGGCTAACTTGTTAGTTTACCAGTCAGCTGCTGGATGCAATTAGCACGCTCGGAAATAGAGCGACGAACTCGTCAGCGAATATTAAAGAAGCTTTTGTTTCAACGTCAGACGGAGAGGCTTCACCATTTCCACCTGGAGGTGATTACATGAGGTATTTCAATTGCTGCAATTTCTGCTTTATCTCTGCAAACTCCTTTTTGTAGTGCAGGTAGCTTCCGTCAGCTCGAGTGAGGTGATTTAGTGAGGATTTACAAACTTTTCAAAATTGTTAAACTTAATAAACTTCTAAATACACAATAATAATTCGACAACAAATATTTTGGTTAGTTCAAAAAGTTTAAGTAGGCGAAAATATTTTTATTTTTGGCATATTAGTAGTGGAAGTGCATGTCATTTGTAGGAAGTTTCACTGACACGAAATTCCGTCTTACGATTTTTTCTTTGATGAGTTGCGTTTTGAATCTAAAGAGCTATCTCTTCGATGCTAATAATTATATGGGCAGATTATAATTCATACGTTTCACATAACTCCATTCATAATTTGATTTAACTTTCTGATATGCATCTTATGTTGGAGTAGATGGAGAAAGAAACAATAGTCATTCTTAGCCCACATGAATGTTGCATCCTGATGCAACATTCATGTGGCCAAGAATGACTTCTCCAACTAAGCCTGCACTATTGTTTCTTTCTCCATCTAGGTACTCCAACATTACTATTCTATTCTCCCCCTACTCCTTAATTAATGATTTTTCTTCACGTACTCCGGCATTGCGGCTTAATATCGACATGTTACTATATACAGGCTCATCAATATTTAGCGTTACAACTCTGGGTGGCTAGAACTATGAAATGAAACACAATTGTGAATGTTTGAAAATGTATTTATGTAGGCAGAGGTTCAGAGATACAATTCCCACAATTTCATTCAATATGTTCACCATCAGCATCAATAACGAGTTGTAGACGCTTAGAGAAAGCGTTACACGAGTCACGAATGACACTCTGCGGGATTTTGGCCCACTCCTTCAGTAGTTTGACCTCTAGGGCGTCCAGACTGCTATATGGTGAACGGTCGAGACCTTGCTCTCAAGGTATGACCAGATCCCAAAATCCAGATGATTCAGATCGGGTGACGATGAGGGCCATTCATCTTTGGTAATGAAGTGGGGAACATTCTCGGACAGCCACTCCTGAGTCGATTTGGCCCCATGGGATGGTGCAGAGTCCTGCTGGAACGACCAGGAGCGTTTTTTGAAGTGCTTTCGTGCCCAGGGCAACAATGCACCAACAAGGATGGCATCTCGATAGTTCTTCTGATTCAATTTTGCCCCTTCGTCAACAAAAAAGAGGGGACTCCTTGAGGACTCTGTTACGGCTGCCCAGACCATCACTGAGGTCGGGCATTGCTTCCTATAGTCACCACACGGGATCCTTCGTCTCATTCTTTGACCAAATTCGATCATTTTGGGAGTTGAAAAGGTGTTCAACATTGAATATCTTCTCATCACTGAAAACGAGGTTTGGCAACGTGCCATCATGAATGCGGGAAAGAAGAATCTTGGATCTTTGGAGGCGTTTGTCAACAACTTGAGCAGACAGTTGGAGTTTTTTGACATGCTTGAATGGGGACAACTTAAGGTCCTTCCGGAGATCAGTCGACATGGTTCCATACGACACATTTGACTGTTTTGCGAGTGTATTAATTTTGAAAAAACAATGTAACGCTAAATATTGATGACCCTGTACAGTACGGGTTCTTTTTCCAAGCAATCCTACAGTACTCTTTTTTCTCTACTTTCTTCTATACACTACTGTTTTTTCTTCACCTATTACTGCATTTACGTTCAATTAGCCACCTATTACATCACTAGTTTTTTTCCACCTATTCACTGGATTAACGTTCATTAATCCACCCACTCTTGCATTAATGTTCTACTGTTCTATTCTCTACGAAAGTGGGATATCTTTTCAGAGACTGAATTCTCAACCAAAATTTCGTCCACGATTGAGTAAAAGTTTTCCGAAAATTAATCAAAATAGGAGAATGAACGAGCCAAATCCTCAGTTCTGTAAAACAATTTTTTTAAACCTGACGCATAGGCGTCAGTCATCCTTCCATTGCTGGTATGAACACTAAGATGATAGGAATCCTCCTCAATAACACTGAAGACGGTGTCAGACAATACAGTCAGCGCCGTAAATAATCAAACTGCACGTAACACAACTTGAGAAATGGGAATACTCCACATCAAAGCAACACCAAAAATTCTAAGCTTGATGATAATTGTGTTCTGCATCGAGCATGAACTCTCGCTTCCGTTGCTTACAGTTAGGTTACTTCAAATGGCAATAGGAAAGAAAGTAGGTATAAAATTTAGTTATTAGTCACGCTCATAAGTCACGCCTCATTTCCCTTGTATTCGTTCCTCAGTATAGTAGGACGCACTCGATCTACACTTTAGCAAACACCTAAACGACTCTGCTTAATTAAAGGGACCGTCTTGGTCAAAAAGGCGATAAATTTATCTTTTCCTTTTTCTTGACTCATCAGCTGGTGGATGCTATTGGCACGCTCGGAAATAGGGCGTCAGTCACTATTAAATAAGAGTTTGTTTCAACGTCCGACGGAGAAGCTTCAACATTTCCACCTGGAGGTGATTACAAAAGGTTTTTCAATAACCGCCATTTCTGCTTTATCTCTGCAAACTCCTTTGTGTGTAGTATGTAGCTCTGTTAGCTTGAGTGCAAGTGATTTATTAAGGACAACTCTTACAAACTTTTGAAATTTGTTGAACTTTACAAACTTCTAAATACATATATAATTCGACAACAAATAAAATGATTAGTTCAAAAAGTTAAATAAGGTGAAAAGATTTTTATTTTTGGTACATTAGTAGATGAAGTACTTGCAATTTGTAGGTGCTAAAGTTTCACTGAAAATTCTGTCTTCTCAAAGTCATGTTTTTTTCTTTGATGAGTTACGTTTCGAATATAAAGAGATATCTCTTTGATGCTAATAATTGTGCGGACAAATTATCATTCATAAGTTTCACATAACTCCATTCAGAATTTGATTTAACTTTTTGATATGCATCTAAGGATTCAACATTCATGCGGTCTAAGAAAGACTTCTCCAGCTGCACTATATATATATATACTGTTTCTTTCACCGCCTATATAGTCGAACATTACTGTTCTTTTCTCCCCTACTCCTGAATTTGATGATTTTTCTTCACCTACTCCGGCATTGTTTTTATCCTCCTGTTACTACATTACTGTTCCTTAATTTCTCCAACCACTCCTATATAGTAATCTTTTTTTCTCCACTTTCTCCTAGACTACTGTTTTTTAATCCACCTGTTACTACATTACAGCTTCTTTCTCTACTTACTCCTACAGTACTCTTTTTTCTCCATTTTCTGCTACACTACTGTTTTTACTTCACCTATTACTGCATTTACGTTCGATTCGCCACCCCTTACATCATTAGATTTTCTTCACCAATTTACTAGATTTACGTTCTTTCGTTCACTTACTCCTGCATTACTGTTCTATTGTTTTTTTCCCTACCTATACATCTATACATTCTTGTTTCTCTCTCATTATTCGAAGGTCTAAGTACTCAGCGAATTTGTGAAAGATACCGTTAATTGAACTTCGACAGAAGTGAGATGTATTTCCAGAGACTGAATTCTCAAACTAAATTTCGTCTGCGATTGTGTAAAAATTGCCCGAAAATAGACCAAAATAGGAGAATGAACGAGCCAAATCCTCAGTTCTGTAAAACTTTACTTTTTAAACTTGACGCATTGGCTTCAGTCATCCATCCATCGATGGTATATGAGCATTAAGAAGATAGGAATAGTCCTCAATAACACTGAAAACTGTGTCAGGCATTGCAATCGGCGCCATAAATAATCAAACTGCAGGCACCTAACACAACACGAGAAAGGGGGAATGTTCCACAACAAAGAAAAAACAAAAATTCTAACATTGATGACAATTTTGTTCTGCATCGCGCCTGAACTCGTTTCCGTTGCTCGCAAAATTCAGAGATTGGTGACAGTTTTGATCTACATCGCGCCTGAACTCTCGTTTCCGTTGCTTAAAAGTTGTTTCATATGGCAATTGGAAAAAAAATCTGTATAAATTTAGTTATAAGTCACGTTCATAAGTCACTCCTCATTTCCCTTGTATTCGTTCCTCAATAGGAAGACGCACTCAACACTTTGGAAAACACTGAAACGTCTCTGCTTAATATTCGTTTCACTTTCCAACACTAAGATTTTTGCAGTTGGCCTTTATGGACTCCTTGACTCTCTCTAACATTATCTGTAGATGTTGTGCCTCTACATTCATGTAATGAATAATATTTTTAAAACAGTATTTAACAAATCCTAATTATGACTTTGACCTGAAGGTCTCACTGAGTGCTTATTAAGAGTGCGGGGATAAAACAAATTTCCCCTATTTATTTTCACGAATGCTGCGCCTTATTTTTTCAGTTTCATGAGACATTTTCTCACGATCTAGTTTCAAGGATTTATATTCAATGATTTATTTTCTCACGATTTCAAGTTTTATGATTTATTTTCTCACGATTTCAAGTTTCGTGATTTATTTTTTCACGATTTTAAGTTTCATGATTTATTTTCCGAAAAGTGTATTGGTGATTAATCTTGGCAAAAATTATTGGCCAGGTACAGACTGAGCAACCAGATTTCATTGCTGCAAATCAGTCAGGAAAATTGATCCCCTGGAGCATCATCGTTTGCATAGCATCAGTCCCGACTGGTATCTTTATCAAAAGAAGGTCCAAGCAGCGCCTTCAGTAATTTGAGGCCTGTAAGTAGAAATAATATGCTATATAACTGATATATTGATATGCATCCCATTTCGTAAAAATAATAGCTGGTTATAAGGTTATCGTTTAGGATTCCTTCCCAGGAGATTTTATTTATATTTAAACTTTATCATATATACCCTCAGATGTGGGCACCCCCATGAATAACCCGCGAACCGGTCGAGCGACGACGCTATACAAGCCATCGCCGTCTATATGACCATACTCGTAACTGAAGAAGGAACTCGTCCACAAACTAACACGTAAAGGAAAGAACTCATCAGCAAAATAACACGTAAAGAAAGAACTCGTCCACAAACTAACACGTAAAAGAAAGAACTCGTCCACAAACTAACACGTAAAAGAAAGAACTCGTCTGCATACTAAAACGTAAAAGAAAGAAGTCGTCCGAAAACTAACACGTAAAAGAAAGAACTCGTCCGAAAACTAACACGTAAAAGAAAGAACTCGTCCGAAAACTAACACATAAAAGAAAGAACTCATTCGCAAAAGAACTCGTAAATGAAAGAACTCGTCCACAAACTAACACGTAAAAGAAAGAACTCATCCACAAACTAACACGTAATAGAAAAGAGCGAAAGAAGATCTGCCTCCTCTTGATTTCTTTTTTAGTGCTTTCATCGAGACAGCATCAAGATGCAGAAGAGAGAAGTATCACGTGATATCGCTCAAAAACCACTGCTCATCGCATTTTTGGTTGCAGTTGCACTTTGCAAATTCAAGAAGCTAATCATCGACAAATACAAAGCATATCTTTCTTTCCACTTTGATAAACCAAGTGCATTAGTCGAGCTAAGGAGACTCAGCAGAAAATCGGATTTCTTCCCGCGACATCTCGCTAAGCTTGTTAACTTCATCCGTAGGTTCAATTTGTGCTTTGATGACTTAAAAGATATCCCCAGCTGTTGCCAAAAAGTTCATAGAGGCTCACACAATCTCGGGCAGGGATTGTTCCACCATCTGAAGCAGAGCAATGGCATTGGGAAAACTGATAATCAGAAGCATCTGCGTCTTTTGTGTTTAGCACTAAAACACCTAACCAAAAATAGCGCCAGCAGTGCAATGAGTCCCTTGGAAAGTTCTTCAATTATTGTTCTTGTCAAAAGTTGGAAGAATGTAACCATCAACAATGAACTTGTGATGTTGCTAGCTTGTTGGTTGGAAAAATCCCGTCATCTGCTCACAAATGATAACATAATCGAGTTGAAAAATTTTGTACATGATATGAAAAATCTTACGTCAGAAATGAAATTATTTTTTCTTGCTAAATTAGAGTGCAATGAAGACATTTACACATCGAGAGAAATTGGAAGTACAACCAAGCTAATAAAATCCACAATGGTGTCGAAAGTGAAGAAAAACAAGCAAATTGTGACCATGACCAAACAAACAGTCATTAGCATTCGATTAGCAAACAGTCAAACCGAATTAAAGCTCTTGGATCTGAGTGAACGCATCAAAAGCTTTAACCGACGAGTCAGAGTCACAATTGTTAAAAGCCCGATGGAAACTGAAGATAGTCAAAGTGGAAGTGACAGATCCATGTTTAGAGCCACCTGGGCAGAAACGGTCAACCTTTATACCATGGTGTCTCAGGGAAAGGTACTCAAAGATGATGACAAAGATAATTATTTGCCGGACAAATTTCTTGGCCATCACTATATTTGGTCTGTCAATGCCAACAAGAATACATTTTATTCGTTCTTTGTTAACAGGATGTGTGCCTCCGCACTATTAAAAGTGTCAAGGAAACAGCAGTTGAATGCCAAAGCAATTTCGAAATTGTTGCAGTGTGTCACTAATTTCGATGGTCTAGTTTCACTTTTGAACATCCCAGAAGGCATCTGTACTTTCTTTGTGGATGAGGTGCTGAATAATTACTGGGAGCTAAAAAAGATGACTGGTCCGGACATCCTTGTCATCTTTGTGAAAAAAATCGTGGAGAAAACAACTGAAGAGTATAAGAAAGGAAGTTGGTTGTACAAAACAACTGGAGTCAGAAAAAAGTCTTACGACAGAAATGAAGTCATGAATATTATCTTTGAGGAAATAAACCTCGCCAGACAAGATGCCGTCAAAGCACTTTACAACTGTGTTTACAGAAACAAGAAAACAGTTTTGACGAGTGAAGTTGTGAATAAAATCCTTAACTATAAGACAGAAAAAACATTTCCAGACGGTAAAGAATTTACAGACGGTAAAGAATTTGTAGACTTAATGTCCGAGCTATTTGAAGTTGCTGCAACAATGGATGAACGTAATTACGCCAAGATGTTCAACGAACAGCTCAGTAAATTACAGCCGAATTCACTGGATAATGTTGATAACATTCTTAAATTCATACGCAGGCAAGCCTGGGACGAACAACGGAGCAAAGAGTTGTTCGAGGAAAATGTCCTGGAAAGGCTAGTGGGATTAGTGGGAGTATCTTCTTTGTACTCAACAGACCAAAAGTTGGAAGTCCTGAAGATAATCAGCACCTACCTGCAACATGAGCACAACCTCGCCGTGAGTGACAGGAACTTGGAAAATTTGCTAAAATCCTGTTTTATGTCAAACGAAATTTCATTGAAAAATACAGGGTTAACAGTACTATTGTTGTCACTTGACAAAAAACAGTTGATGACCGAAGGCATTTTGAAAGAGCTCCGAGAAGAGTTGAAGAGACTTCAGAATGAAGAATACACCAGCTTCATGGTGTTCATTCTGAGTAGGATTTTTTGCAGTCAGGGAAATTCATGGCGGAGTTTTTACAATGACCCTTGCCTCATTGAATTAGTCTCAAGCAAGCTGTTGAGCAACCATGTGGTTGAGTTAAATCAATATGACGATGAACTGGTCAAAATTTCGGAACCAGAGGCAGGATTGGCAGGGCATAGTCCCAGCAACCAAATTTCGTTCTTGGCTGCAAATATAATTTTCACATCGGTAGAAAATAAGGTTATTGTGAGTTCTCAGACCCTTGATAATCTACTCCTAGTTTTGGAGTCTTCCTGCAAAAATGAAACCCAAAAGACACAAATCGTTGCTGCCAAAATCTTATACAGACTCACAGAATACACCATATTTGAAGATAGGATTTTAAATCAGTTGCTAGATTTCATGAGCTCTCCAACCTATGATGTGAGTGTGTATGTCCGAGCTGCGTACATGAAAGCATGTGCAAAAGTGGCTTCTGCTCCATCTCCTGTGCCTCTCCATCCAGCCCACTTGGAAAAACTAAGCGACCTTTATGTACCTGGAAGTCTGAAGCTAGGTGAAGTTGACTTTGAAAGTGAAATCAACACCAACCTCTTTGAAGTGCTTTTGTGTGAATCCGAGAAGCATGAATTCATTGATGATATCTTCACGCTTTTTGAAACTGTTCTTGAATTGAACCAAAAATATGTCTCTCAAATACTTGCCATACTCAATTCTTACTCATGTAAGTTCATAGTACCAGATACCGTTGTGAGAACAGTGGAGAAACTTCTTTCTGTTCCTGACTTTTTCGAAGAGGCTTTTTCGGTTACGCATCGAGTCATTGTCAATGGTAATTCTACAGTTTCATGCAAGACTTTAACCGTTCTCGTAGATTGCTTATACAACTCATCAAACGCACAACGCAGAAATAAATCCTTTGAGTTGCTCCAAAGAGCCAGCCAAAACCAAGAAATTCCTGATGACATTTTTCGGAAACTTGAGCTGGCTAGAGCAGGATATTCATTAGACATTGGTGCTGCTGACAGGTCCATGTTGATTAACTTCATCGATAGTTACATTGATAGGGGAATGCTGCTGCCAGTTGACACAATTCTTGCTCTCGAGAAAGAACTCAGTGACACAGGAGTGTTGAAAATTGTCGCCAATGCATCAGGAAACCATCAAATTATTTCACAGCGAATACTAGACCGTCTGACCGAATTGTTTACGATAAATCCAGTAACTGCTGATGACATCAATAGGAGCATCCTTCTTGTCGCCATTTTCGAAAATGCAGTAAAAAACAACCAGACTTTGTCTTCTGACCTTCTGGAAAAACTTGAACTAGCATTGGCAAATGACACTATGGAGCCATGCATCCTCAAGGTGTTCATTTATCAGGCCCAAAAGGGTGAAAAGCTCACACCGAATCTGAACACGATACTTCTTAGCAAGCTGTCAACAGGGCAGCTCTCAGTTCTGAAACTGGAAATGCTCAGTTGCTTGGGATCTCTCATTGAAGCCAATCAAACCGACATTGGACGTTACTTGCCTCAAGTGAACCAAATTCTGACAGAACAAATTTCTTCTGACAACAACGTCGTTCAAAACATGTGCATCACTGCTGTCCGCAAACTGATCACGTTTTGCAAACATGTAGATGAAGACCTGCTCCAGAAACTAGTGGACGTTGCAACAAGATCCGACTGTAACGAATATGTGAGGAACGAAATCGCACTGACTTTTGGTCTTATTAAGGACGAGTATAACCCTGTCATCAAGTTGAAGCAGTTCAGGGAAAAACTCCATCTTGCCAACTTGCACTTCATCTCACCAAAAAATGTGCTCGAACATTTGAAATGCTATACAAATGTCAATGGGAGTTTGCTCGAACAAAATTATCTTCAACTTATACACATAATCGACAATGAAAACATGCAGCTGCAAGGGGAGGCTTTGTGTGTTTTACGTCAAGTTTCGAATAAAGCAAAAATTTCCGATAAACTGCTGGATAGCTTGGCCTTTTTATTCGAGAGCACCGTATCCGACACATTGAGGAAGTCGTGTCTGGAACTGTTAACAGAGATCGTAAAAAGTGGGAAGACTTTGAGTGGTAGAGCTTGGCAATTGTGGGACACAGAGCTGAATCAGGACGCAAATGTGCAAGCATTTCTTCAAAGCTCCTTATGCAAGGAACTAACGAGGGAGTTTGAGCTCACAAATGAAACTTTGTTAAAATTGCATAAGTTACTCCCAGCAAGGCATTATGTTTGCAAGACGAAAAATGTGGAAGATTTTCTCCGTTTGGTGGTCATTGAAGAACCCGACTGTGTTAAGAATCAAGCATTTGTTCTTTTCGTTGAGCAGTGTTTGCTTAAGAAAATTCTCCTGGAAATAACACTGCCATGTTATTGCACGATAATCAAAGAGCGGAAGTGCTACAAAGAGGTGGAGTGTTTGCAGGCATTAGTACTTCACTTCAGTGAGAATGAAAGAGATTTGTCTCATCTTCATACCCGTCTGTTTGAGGCCATGTACCATGCACAACAGTTTAAGCAACTTCCAGACATCTGTCTTGAAGTTGCGTTTGATAATCTTGTCTCCAAAAGTTCAAAAATCAGAGGTTACTCATTCGGAATCCTGAAGTATTCAACAAAAGAAAATTGGAAAAAAGTTCT